GGACGTGTGTTCGGCAAAAATGATAGCAGTAGTCCTCAGAGTGGAGAGAAGAATCTACTGTCTCCTTTGGGCATGTTGACAAAGAGACAAGTTGGTGGTACTGTAAAGCGTGGTCACGTTGTTGTTGTGAGGAGGAGGATAACGCTGGGCGACCGAGGTTGGTAGAGTGACTGATGATTGATGCCCGTCGCCTTTATTTCCTTCGCTACCGCTGTGGTGGGGAACATGCAATGACTTCTACGTTAGAAGCTTAATGGCATCACAGCTGATGAGGGTAAAAATGGTGATCAGTCTTAGGACAGCGTCAACTCCTCCAGACGACGTCACGCACCTCAGAGCAAATCAGAACACCGATCGAGGCACATTAACATCCTGCAAAGGCCAAGCCCTTCACACCACGCCAAAATAGGTGTCGGACGTTATCATATATACGAGCCTGCCCCCTGCAAGCGGGCACATCAGGCAACAGTAACCTTCCTTATAAAAAACCCCCGCACTCAGAGGAGAGGGGGGGAAAAAACCTTCCACATCTGGCTAACTTGATCGTCGGAGGGGTCGGGCCGCACACCCCCGACCCGACCTGTGTGCAGGTACCAAGGCGGAGCGCCCCCTCTGAACGTCAGAGGGCCGAGCCCACCTTTCGGAAAGAACTGCAACCCGACGGGGCACGGGCCACCCAAGCGCGATCACCTCGGCAGCCCCCAGGGTCGTCCGGGAAGATCCCAGCATATTCGGACCCGAGCAAAGCCGTGATGGCCCCGAGGCCACGACTTAAAGTTGTTTGCACTAACAGATTGGCACTAGAAGGAGGGCCCGAATGTCTAGAGATCACCCGATCGCCTCAGACGAGCTCCCGGCCAAGGGGTCGCACCCGGTCGTAGCCCCGGGTGAGCCTCCCCCGCGCGACGATCTTCAGAACGATCCCCCCGCCACGACCCCGGAGCGCTACTGGCGTCTGGTCAATGACCCTGGACTCCTTCCCCCCGAAGGCGCCCCCGGCGTCCCTTCGCCCGTGTCGAGTGAGGCTTTTCAAGACCTCGCACACCAGATCTGAACTCTGACGGAAATGGTGCGGGCGGCCGTCCCGCTCATCGCCCAGTCTGCAAACCCATCGGCGGCACAACCAACGCGCCGACTGGAGTCATCCGAGCCTGCTCACGTGACCACTTCGGCGCCCCCTAGCTCACCCCTGATCCGGGCACTTCCCCTTGAAGGTCAAGCAGGGGAAAAACCCGTCGACCGACTCGAGCATGAAATGCTATCTTCGGGCTCAACGGACTCCTTCCGGGCCGAACTGCGCCTTCTCGGTCGACGACTAGAAGAAGTACAGAAGGAGGTTCGCAGCTCGAGGGAAGGGCTAGGGAATAACGCGCACCGAGGGTCGCCATTCGCGGCTGAAATACGGGACCAGCCGATACCCATGAACTTTCGACTCCCCGCCTTGGACGCCTACGACGGCACCACCGACCCCGAGGATCAACAGCACACCGCATTCCTCATTGACCGAGGGATATACTTCTACAAGGTCATGCCGTTCGGACTTAAGAACGCCGAGGCTACATATCAAAGGACCGTGAACAAAATGTTTGCTCACCAGATAGGGAGAAACATGGAGGTCTATGTCGATGATATGATTGTCAAAAGTCGCACGATTGCGACTCACCTGTCCGACTTGGCCGAGACCTTCGTCACACTGCGAAGGTACAAACTGCGCCTCAACCCCGCCAAATGCGCTTTTGGTGTAACCACGGGAAAATTCCTCGGTTTCATTGTGCATGAAAGGGGAATCGACGTAAACCCCGAGAAGGTAAGGGCGATCATCGACATGCAAGCCCCCCAGACGGTCCGAGAGGTGTAGTGCCTGAACAGGAGGCTCGCCTCCCTGTCAAGGTTCCTATCCCGATCAGGCGACCGGTGCCTCCCCTTCTTCCGGGCTCTGAAGAACCCCAAAGACTTCGAATGGACAGCAGAATGTGAGGAGGCTTTCGCCCACTTAAAGGAGCACTTGGCGTCACTCCCTCGTCTCACCTCAGTATCCCCTCGGGAGAAGTTGGGTGTCTACCTAGCCGCCTCTCGACGCGCAGTAAGTTCTGTCCTGATCAAGGATGTCGCTGGAGATCAGCTACCGATTTACTACACTGGCCACGTCCTCAGCGGACCGGAGGAGCGCTATCCTCCGATCGAGAAACTGGCACTAGCGCTCGTACTAACAGCCCGGAAGCTATGCCCTTACTTCCAAGCCCACCCAATCGAGGTAATCACCAACTAACCACTCAGGCAAGTTTTATCTAAATTCGACGTTGCAGGTCGGCTCCTCAAGTGGTCGGTAGAGCTGGGGGAGTTCGACATACACTTCATGCCCCGAACATCTGTCAAAGCCCAGTCCGTAGCCGATTTCATCTCAGAGCTCGTTCAAACAGACAACGAGTCTCCCACCCAGCCTGGGGAGGCATGGGTCATGCGCGTAGATGGCTCGTCCACTTCAAGCGGTGCTGGCGCGGGACTAGTGCTGTCGGCCCCCGACGGGCGTTCGTTCGAGCGCTCCCTCCGCCTCGGGTTCCGAGCAACCAACAACGAGGCCGAAAATGAAGTACTCTTGGCAGGGCTCAGATTGTCTCGCGAGATGCAGGTGGACGCCATCCACATCCTCACCGATTCGCAGTTGGTAGCCGAGCAACTCGACGGCCGATACGAAGCCAGGGAACCCACCATGGTGAAGTACTTGGCGAAGGTAAGAAGCCTAGCCTCCGACTTCTCCCGCTTCATGATATCCAGGGTGCCGAGAAGCCAGAACGAGCGAGTCGACGAGCTGGCTAAGATGGCCTCAAAGTCGGACTCCGGAGCCCAAACCGAGGTCGAAAGGCTCCCCTTTCGCGCCGTCTCAATTTCCGCTGTATCCTCAGCCGACTCGCGCTCCACGTGGGTACAGGAGATGTTGCTTTTCAAGTGCGACGGAACCCTTCCCGCCGACCAGACTGCTGCTCGGCGGATCCGTCGAACGCAGGCTTGGTACTCCAAAGTGAATGGACAACTCTACAAGCGGTCCTTCTCACACCCCCTATTGCGGTGCCTCGAGCCTGAAGAGGCCCAGACGATCCTGGCCGAGGTCCACGAAGGGATTTACAGGGAGCATATCGTCGGACGAACCTTGGCTTGCAAGATCCTTCGGCAAGGATACTATTGGCCCACCATGTCTCGAGACGCAAAGTCTTACGTACAGCGGTGCGGCCCGTGCCAGAAGCATGCCCGAACGCCCCGGCAGCCCGCGGTCCCGCTCACCCTCATTGACTGTGCGTGGCCATTCGAACAATGGGGTCTGGACCTCCTCGGCCCTTTCCCACCTGCCTCGGGACAACGGAGGTACATCGTTGTGGGGGTAGATTACTTCACCAAATGGGTCGAGGCTGAACCACTGGCAACGATCATAGAACGACAAGTAGAGAAGTTCGTCTGGAAAAATATCGTGACTCGGTTCGGCTTGTCCCGAGCCATCATCACGGACAACGGCTCCCAATTCGCCAGCACGCGGTTCAGGGAGTTCTATGCGAACTACGAGATTCAGCTGAAGTTCAGCTCGATGGCCCACCCCTAGACGAACGGGCTAACTGAGGTGACCAATCAATCCATTTTAGACGGGCTTAGAAGGAGAGTGACCGCGGCCCAATCGGACTGGGTGGATGAGCTCCCAAGCACCCTTTGGTCCCTGCGAACCACCCCAAAAACTGCGACCGGAGAATCTCCTTACAGCCTCTCGTTCGGGACCGAGGCCGTCCTGCCCCCCGAAGTGGTTTTTCCCACTTTGCGAACCGAGAAGCACGATGCCAATGTATCGACCCTCGGACTACAAGCCGGCCTCGACCTGCTCGAGGAACGACGCGCTGACGCGCACCTAAAGGACCTCTCTTATAAGAGGGTCGTGGCCAGAGTTTACAACTAGAGGGTCCGGCCCCGACCGATCAAGTTAGGCGACTTAGTCCTACACAAGGCCGAGGTCAGCAACCCAACCCGAACGTGCGGCAAGCTGACTCCTAATTGGGAAGGACCTTATTGGGTGGTCGACGTTGTTAGGACCGGCACGTACCGACTCGCAACAATAGAGGGCGACCACTTGCCGAGAACGTGGAACGTGCAAAATCTCAAGAGATTTTTCGTGTGAAGAAATGAGGGTTGGCAGTTATGCATAAGTATGGGGAAAAGTTCTTTTTATTATAGAAAAACTGGAAGTACATGACTCGACTCGGACATACAGAACCGATTGACCCCTTTACGTCCCCCCTTGTTCCTTCGAAATCCCCAGTTGATCATCGAAGGGGACGTCTTCGGGCATATCCACCTCTAGATCCTCCGGATGGGAGGTGAAAGGGTCCGCCTCTACTTCAGAGCCGGGGGGGCACGCACGAACACGGGATAGGGCGATCCGGTAGCCATACTCATAGGAGACTTGCCCTATCCGGATCAGTCCCTGTTCGAACCCCTCGGATGCCTTATAATCCTCGATCAGTTTCTTATCTTTCCCCGGCCTCTAACGAACCTCTTCCGCAAGGGCTATGGAGACCTCCCGCGTCTCGGCGCGGGCCTCCTCTAACCTTCGGATCAGTTCGACCGATTCCCCCCTCGCTGTGCGGGCCTCGGCCACAAATACCCTCAGTTGCATCTGCGTCTCCTTCTCCCTCTCCTCGGCCGCTTTAAGCTCAAATCTGAGGCGTGCCGCCTCCGCCTCTAGATCCGAAGCGCGCCGCTTGGCCGCCTCCACCGCTTCGGGGACCGCCTCAGCCTGAGCTTTCTCGAGCTACCTTTTGAGCTCAGCGTTACGGTCACTCAAAATATTGACAACTCGACCCGCATCGCGTACTCAGTCCATCAACGCCGTAGCATAATGGTGGCCCTGCAGAAAAAGGAGTCAGGATGGCGCAATCTTGGCATGGACAAACAACCGTCGGTCAGTGGCTTACCCACAGCATCGACTTGGCAGCTTTGCCAAGGAGGGCTTCAGAGGGCAGGGTATACAAGTCCCGAGATATGTCGGGATGAAGCCCCCCGCGGACGAACGCGGCTGCGGAGTCCCCATCAGCCCACACCCGGTCCCCTCGGGTGAGGTCTCCCCAGCGGGCCACTAGCGGGTCGGAGGTTTGGCCTTACGAGAGGTCCCCCATCACCCGCGTCTGGTAAGGCTCGCCCCCTCCCCCCGGGAGGTGGCAAAGTTCACAGATGGAAGGCTCCCGGGGTGCCTTCCCTCCCGCCTCACTAGGGCCGGCTTCGCCCCCTCCGAGGCCCTTCCCCGCACGGTCGGTCGGTCCGGTAGCGACCTCCCCCGACCGACGCGTCGTCACCTCGGAAGCTTTCGCCTCGATAGTCTTCGCCTTCTTCCGAGGCCGAGCCGCGTCGACGTCCACCGGCGCCTCCTTTGAGCCTACCCCCGCCTCGGCCAGCAGACACGTTGAGGGGGCCGGCAGAGTCTGCCCCCCGCGCAGGGCCTGGAGACGCACCATTTCTGCATCAGGAACGCCGACATAGGTTAATCATACTAAACAATATGCCGAGGAAAAACCCCAAAACTACTTGTACCTCGAGGCGTTGGGCTAAGACCCGCCTCGATCAACCACTCCTCGGTCATGTTTCGAATAGCTCGTGAGGCCGGAAGGATTTCTTTGAGCCTCTGGAGCCCCAGACGCTCTTCATCGCCCAAGACTGGGGCAGTATTGTCGATCGCATGCGCCGTCCAACACAGTCCGAAGCTCCAGCCCTCCGTGCGACGGACGTAAAAGAAACGTCCCTTCCAGCCCTTGTTACTAGAAGGGGCCCCGCTCACTCGGAAGCCCGACCGGGCAGACAAATAATAACCCCTTGACCCCTTGGAAAGACAGAAACAGGAAAGGAAGAGGGATCGGGTCGGGGCAATACCAGCATAGTGGCACTCCCCCAAGAAAACCACCAGATAGCGCCAGGAGTCCGGTGCCATCTGTGATGGGGAAATGCGCCACCACGAGAGGCAAGAACAGATGACGGGATGCAGAGGGAGGCGTAGCCCGGCCTCGAAAGCATCAAGGGTCAGGGCGAACCCCTCAGGGATCGGATCATACGCCCGTTGACCGGGCTCAAGGGCGAGAAGAACGAACTCCTCCGGAACGCCGTAACGCCCCCGGAGGTAACTAAGCGACGACTCGTTCACAGTAGAATCGAGATCGCGGGGCCACATCAAGGTTTCCAGGACTCGGGCTGCCTTCTCGTTGGAGGACGAGCTAGGACCTGGCGACACCCTTTTCTTTCCGACTTCACTCGAAGCAGAGGGAGAGGGTATAGGAGGAGAAGAAGGGGATACCATCCTTACTGACCTTCAGGAGTGAGGGGGAGCGCTCGCTGCAAACGAAGCGATGGGACCCAGAGGAGCAACAGAACAAAAGCAAGTAAGAAGACACTCGGGAAGCAACCTACGCGACATTTATAGACGAAATCCTGCCAAAAACGACGACTCTTCCCCTCCTGAGGCACATCGCGTCAGGAAGACCTAGCGGCACTCCGCCTTAAAGGCGCCCTAACGTGGCAACCGCTAAACACGTGGCGCAGACACTGGACCGCTAGCCTCCCCATTCTCGAAGAGCCAGCGGACCTACCCCCCCCGTCCCGCAGTCTTGATTCCTTCGATCTCTGTGCCGGCGGGAAAAAAACTCGTTAGCCTTCACCTTGGCATCGTTCCATTCCTGGACAAAGTTGCTCCACGGCTCCAAGCAGCCCGAGCCCCATCTCGGCGCAGCTTGCTTGCCCGAGCATGTGCCTCGGCTGCATGTCGCCCAAGACCACCTCCTTTGCGCGGCCTGCCCGCCTGAGACGTGCTCCTCGGCTGCATGTCGCCCGAGACCACCTCCTCTGCGCGGCCTGCTTGCCTGAGACGTGCTCCTCGGCTGCATGTCGCCCGAGACCACCTCCTCTGCGCGGCCTGTCTGCCTGAGACGTGCTCCTCGGCTGCATGTCGCCCGAGACCACCTCCTCTGCGCGGCCTGCCCGCCTCAGACGTGCTCCTCGGTTGCATGTCGCTCGAGACCACCGCGGCATGCCCAGCCCGCCTTACTCTCTTGAGTCATACCCCAGATCATGGACCAAACAACCGCCCAACAAGAACGAATACAGAAAGCACAAGCCATGCCTCGGACCCCCGTTACAACGACCGACGCATAGCTTCTTACCGGGGGGGAATATGATGAGGGTAAAAATGACGATCAGCCTCAGGACAGCGTCAACTCCTCCAGACGATGTCACGCACCTCAGAGCAGATCAGAACACCGACCGAGGCACATTAACATCCTGCAAAGGCCAAGCCCTTCACGCCACGCCAAAATAGGTGTCGGACGTTATCAGATGTACGAGCCTGCCCCCTACAAGCGGGCATATCAGGCAATAGTAACCTTCCTTATAAAAAAACCCCGCACTCAGAGGAGAGGGGGGGAAAAAACCTTCCACGTCTGGCTAACTTGATCGTCGGAGGGGTCGGGCCGCACACCCCCGACCCGACCTGTGTGCAGGTACCAAGGCGGAGCGCCCCCTCTGAACGTCCGAGGGCCGAGCCCACCTTTCGGAAAGAACTGCAACCCGGCGGGGCACGAGCCACCCAAGCGTGATCACCTCGGTAGCCCCAAGGGTTGTCCGGGAAAATCCCAGCATATTCGAACCCGAGTAAAGCCGCGACGGCCCCGAGGCCACGACTTAAAGTTGTTTGCACTAACACCAGCTAAGGGGAATCAAAAGCCACATAAAACACACCTCCTATCGGTAACCCAATCTTTACCGCCTCTCTCTCTCTCTCTCTCTCTCTTTTGAGGAAGCTCACCGTGTCACTTTAGCAAGGAGGAGGGGAAGCAAGCCACTCCTCTGTCGTAATGCTGCACTTCCACTCCTCTCCTCTCGCCTCTTAGATTTCCTCTCTCTCCTCGCTGATTTATCTCTCTCTCTCTCTCTCTCTCTCTCTCGTTCTCTCTCTCGTAGAAGCTTCTCTGTCTTTTCCACCATGGAAGAAGGTAACACGAGGACTAGTGGGTCCAAGAGAGGCGGCGACAGAGGCGGCGGTGAGAAGGCCAACAAGAGGAGCAAGGAGGGAAAGCACCCGGGCTACCGAGGCGTACGCATGCGCTCCTGGGGGAAATGGGTGTCGGAGATCCGAGAGCCGAGGAAGAAGTCGAGGATCTGGCTGGGGACGTTCCCGACGCCGGAGATGGCCGCAAGGGCGCATGACGTGGCGGCGATTGTTAGTTTGACAAGTCCCACAGTCCCACATCGGGAAAATCAGACTTGTTGTCTCGTCTTGGAACTATAAATAAGGGCCTGAGCTTTGAAGTCAGATGCACCACAAGAGGCACCACAAGAAGCACCACAAGAAGTACCGCAAGAGGCACCATAAGAAAACCTGCTTATGGTTTGGGTCTTTCCTTGTTTAGTAAGCTGAAGGTGTTTTATGGCCTAGGAACATCTTCCTAAGACATTTGTAAGTGTCCCTCTTTTATAGTAGTAATTTGCTCCTCTTTCGTCCGTGGATATAGGTCAATTGACCGAACCACGTATATCTAGTGTTCTGGTGTTCTTGTTGCTTTTATTCTTTCCGCT